AAGAAGCATGAAATTGGAGTTCAGCGTAAATATCTATAAGGCAATCTTTTCTCTTCTTAAAGAAGGGAAAAAAAAAACAAAGCTCTAACACTTGCAAGCCTTTAAAACAACGTATGATGGGGAACAAAACAGTATGCAGAGATGTAGCCGAGGGGAAGAAGAGAAGATAGCCCCAATTCCACTTTTTTGACCTTGTATGAATACAGATTACACCCCTGCTGCTCAACAATACAGGAGTGATATACCAAGCAAATCCAACTGACATTCAGCTGACACCTGTCATCAGAATTTTAACTTGTATATTTTTTTTTGGGAATTGATGTGCTTCTGAAGTATAAAAAGATTTTAAAACAAGTTGACAAACAAAATAAATCTAAAGTTGAAAAATGACCTAATAAGGAAATGAATAAATATTAAAAACCTTTTCATTCGAAGTGACCATGTTCTCATCTTTACTACTATTCAGCTTAGCATTTTCCAAAAATGCTTCACTTTCTTCCATTTCAGCATGCACATTTTTTTCTTTTTTCAATGCAATCTCTTGCCTACACCTACATTGCAACAGAAAAAAGTAAATTGAAATATATTTTAGAAGTATTTTATCATAATATATTAATATATTATGCAGCTTTCCTAAACATTCTGTGAAGAGATACGAAAAAATCACACATTGTATTTTAAAGCACAAAAGGTATCACATTTGTGTTAAAAGACTATACTTTTACTATTTTTTTTCTGTTAGCTCTTATCAGTTGTAGGAAAAAAAGCTAAATACGCCCCTCTATAGTAGAAATACATACATTGCTTGTTCTAATACACTGATGAATGTTTCTCCAACAGTTCTCTCATGATATGAAGATGCTTCATTCAATTTTAAATCTGAACATATGAGGGCGATTCTAAGAAAAGAAGAAGAAATATTTAAGAAATAATCAGAATCTCCCAAATGCTGCTTCACATAAACATATGCCAGAGAGGATATATTTCATGTTTCCTAGTCCTTTTGTCTTAAATATTAATTAATATTGGCAGTATCAAACTTTTAAAACAAATTTGTTCAAAACGAAATTAGACCTCAATATATGCAAATACACTTACTAAACTGCTATTTGGTATACATACTGAATAGCTTTTCTGCATTGGACAGAGTATTTTTTATCCCTCCATCTAGAGATTGAAATAAAATGAAATAAAAACATATCTTGAGATGTCAAGAAAGAATTGTGTAGCAAAGCTTGGTGGTAGATTTCCTATTACTAAAACAACTTTATTATTGTAAGACAGTAAACTTGTTATCAACTGGTGATTCAGATAAACACATATCCATTTGTATATGTGAATATTTATCTATTCTAACTTGTAAGATTTCAGAAGCTTAAAAATACATTCTCTGATATTCCACAAACCATCTGAAATTAAGCAATTATTAATTACTGTCTATAATAAGTAAACATTGATCAATACATGCCCAAAATGTGTAATAAATTATTTTAATTAAAAATAACAGTAACTTGGAATGCAAAGGCACTTGCATGCATATTCTCTATTTTTGAATCGAAATACTCAGGGCTTAACGTGCTTTAAAAGAATAGAATTTTAAGCACAAAGTAAATATCATAAAAAAGAGAATGATTGCTACAGTTAGCGATGTTTATTTGGGTTCTAAAGTTGAAGACACAACATATGTCTGATGCAGAGTCTGGCATTTTGATAACTTAAAAGACAGTTTATTGAATTTTGCTTGGTCTTTGCTTTTTTCAGCTAGGTGATATAAAACGTCAAAAAATTATTCACTTGAAACTGGCCTGAATTTATAATCTTGCATATCTTTTCTAGTAGAGGTCAGGTTTAGCAATAGATAATTTTATTGTATTGAATGCTAAAAAAATCATAAGTCTTAATTAAAATGTATCAAAATGAATAATAAAAAAACTTACAAAATTTTAAAAAATTACAACTATGAAACAGTAACTATTATAAACTATTTAGCAAAATACTCATAGAAAGTCCTCTGCATTTTGTTCCTCTTTTATTTAAAATAAATAAAACATACAAACCGAAGATGATAGAGATCAGATAGACTTTTACATTCCACAACTTCACTAGCAATGACTTCAGCCAGCTGAAAGATGGGAAGAGTCAAGTGGGGACAAAAAAATTTCTGTAGCTCTTCAGCTAAAAGGTCAATAAAATATAAAGTACAAGTCTAAAAAGAAAAAAAAACAATTCATTTAATTAATATAGGCATAATTTCACAGAAAATATATTTCAAATGAATTTTCAGTTCAAAACTTTAAAGTTTAGTTCAAGCTAAATTTTAGTTTATTTAAAAAAATCTTAAATGAGCTTTCAAATTGAAAAAGCAGATAATTATATAGAAATTCAGTTAATTTTATTCTCTACGATAAGTTCATTCCAGAATATAGAGGATGGTCTAACATTTTTGAAGTAGTAACAAAAAAACCCCTATGTATTTCTGACAACTGTCCACGCCTATTTTTCACCTCACAGGGATAAAAATGCAGCATGGTTCTCTGCTATTCTTTTTTTTTTTTCCCCCAAAACTAACCCACTTTAGAATGTGGAGGAGCATACTTACAGGTTTGGGGAAATTTTCCTCATTAATACCATAACTATTTGTTTTCTGTTTGAATGCCTCTCTGATTTCACTGGGACAGTCATAGCTAGCCCATTCTTCCACATTTGCTGGTAAAATTGATTCTTTCCTTTTAGGCTTCTCTTTCACAGCAGAAGCTTTAACCTATGATTAAAAATATTCGTAAGACCAAAGTTAGCATTTTTGCTTCCATTAAGTATTCAACTAACATAAAAAGGTACCTGTTTAGTATCCTTTGAAGTTTTGTCTCTTTTCTGACGTTTAGACTGTGGGTTCTGCCAAACAGCAATGTTTTGATCAATGCAGCAAACAAAAAGAGAAAAAAGAAGAAGCACCCATAAACTGATGACCTGTCAAGTCTGTGAGACCATGAATGAAGATACGATACAGACGCAGAGACAAAACCTACAGAGAAGCTAGAGTTTTCATAGAAAAGCATCTCAACTATTCAACTCGTGACCCATGGCAAACATCGCCTAGAAAACAGATGGAAAGCGATTCTTACTTGTTTCTCTTCCTTTTTGTCCTTTTCTTTCCTAGATGCAATAATTGACTGCACACTCTGAAGAGTAGTAAGTTGTGAAGTCTTTGATATTACTTTCAGAATAGGTGTTGATGCTGACAGAGAAACCTAGACAATAAAAATAATTCCACTTTTTTCACTGAAAATTGCTAATTAGCATGATTATTCAATGTATGTCACTACCTACAGCTATCATAAAGCATCACACAACCTAGTTTACTTAACAAAACTTTCCTCACAAAACCAAAATTTCACTGACTCATAGATAATGCCACTAGCTCTGCAAGCATTTAGGAAGAGCACAATAATGCACTTAAGTAGTTAACTAATTTGACCAAACAAATTTACTCTCACTATATCAATAGATGATACCATCACTGTAATAGATAATACTGCTACTTGTTAACCTACATGGTTGCAAATTAAGCATTTTTTGTTGTTGTTTGTTTGTTTGTTTTTTGAACAACCAGTCTAGGCTGCTTAGGACTCTACGGTGAACAAATTTCACATGAAAGTGACTTTGCCAATATGAAAGAGAAGAAGTATGTTCTCTTTCTGGATTGATCTTTGATAGTCTTCTAGGGAACGTTATATAACAGAAGTTTCTAAATATACAAAAATACACATATTCATTTTATATATTTTGTATATTAATTACAGTGATTTGAAATAAAATTATGTAAGCTATAGCTTACTGACTAGTTGAAACATCCCAGCGATACCATTAACTCTATTTTGTCTTATATCTACTGATTTGAGACATTAGTATTACCAAGTATAGATTTTGTCCCTTCAGAGATTTTTCTAATACTCAATGCATAATAATTTCTCCTTTGTTTATGCTACAATTTTTATTTGACACTTAAAAATGAAAAACCCACCAACTATAAAATTGGAAACAGTATAGTAAAGATATGGTTAAAATATTCAATTAATAGCTGACACTGTCCACAAGGTACCTCAACATCTGATGGCCTCATTTAACAGCTGCTCTCACCTGCCAAATACGAATGATGCAAGCATATGCCATCAAACAGTGTTGCTGATGAAAAGGAGAACTATGACCAAAAATTATAGCCATTAAAGTATGTGCTCTAAAAAAAGCTTCCAATTGCCTAATATTACTCAGATCTTCCAAAGCAATTGTGGGCATCATACCACTTCCTCCAATGTCCATCTTCAGATTTTCTATAGGCAATAATTTCATTAAAGTATTTTTTTCTGTTAAAAAACAAATAATATGTCTCAGTCTCGGTATTTACAGAGTCACAGAATGGTTGAGATCATAAGGGACCTCTAGAGATCATCTAGTCCAAATTTAACAGTTAATTCAAAGTTAAATATCTTAAGTGAAAACAAACATGTAAAACATTATTAGAAACATGGAAAAATGGGAATCTGCTTACTGAAGTTGTTCTTCCTTTTGTGACACAATGCTATCTGTATCACATTTTCAATTATTAATGAAACAATTATGTAAATTAAGTCATAAAAGTCTAAAAAAGAAATGGCAAGCGCACCTTTGACTATGTCTTCTTCATCATAAATCTCTGTGAAAGTCATTTTAACTTATCTTCAGTCATTTAAGAAGTGTTTCAGTCAAGTTTGGTATTTACAGCAAATAGCTGGCAAGGACGACATCCTAACTACCTTTATCTTAGCTAGTGGCGAAAGTACATTTGGCCATCATTCACTTCCAAACCAAAAATCCCCAATAATTCAGTGGGTCAATTTTAAGCAGTCAAAAATATAGCTCAGGCTCATTGCTGCACCTATAATGAAATGTCCTGATGGCTTCACAAATACAAAAGATGCTCCGCTACTCGAACCATCCTCCCTTGTGCTGTATAATTCTTGATTTTTTTTCAGTAATAAACTCATATACTTTATGTACATTCCAACTTTCCTTGAAGTTCACCTCAAAAACAACCAATTTTGAGGATTTTCAGTCTGAAGTACCATAAAGCCACAATCCTCCTTCAGTGTCAAATTACTGTATTACAACACTATATTAAAACACAAGGCAATGGCATAACACCAGCCAATAGTCCACGGTCATAGATGAAGTTGGAAATCTAAAAAAAAAAAAGCAACAGGCGAAACTAGTGAAGTTTGTACATGACTGCCACAACATAAGCAACATAGGGAAAGGAAGGTAAGTGTTATGAAGAGTCCAGCAAGCATAAACAGCCATCTGAAAACTGAATGGAAATATCAATAAAGAAAAAATTAAAAACTCTAAACTGCCATGAGACTGTGGGTAACACAAAAAATATTAGGAGAATATTGAGAGTGTAACTTTAATAATGTAAGTGATACTAGAGACATCACAGATTTTTCTTTTTCATTGCAACACCACAAGTATTTTTGTGATCCATTTAATTTATCTAGAAGAAAATAAGTCAAGAGCAGAGCAGATGTTGGTTATTGCCACACAGTACAGTTTCAGAAGGTGCTCTTTCAATTAAATAGTGCTGCAAAACTGGTTGCTGGGATCATGCCACCTGGACCTCCACACAGCTGCATCTGAAACCTACGGCTCAGCATTGCTTTCTGCTGGCACCTGCCAAGGGAGGAGGCGCTAGCGCCCACACCGGAGGGACAGCAGCTCTGCTTGTTCAGAGCAGGGCCCCAAGAGTGGCTCTGGGTGGCCTGCTGGCTTTGCAGACACGATTAAGCTTCCCTTGAAAGAGTTATTGAGAATACCAGAGAAAGTAGAGCCACATTCCCACATTGTTCCTCATATGCGCCAGCTACACTGTAAAATAAAACAACCTTCTGCATTTGTTACTAAGAAATTAATTGGAAGGCTATATGTATATACACACCTTCTCCTTGGGAAGGTGGCATGGAAGATTTCATACGCCGCAAGATATCTACTGCCCAGTGGAGAGTTTTAATAACTTCATCAAGAGGAAACTGGTTGCAATATAACCATTCAGCAAATTCCAGCAGATAATCAACTTTCTGCCACTCACTTTCTTCTTTCTGTAAAAGTGATAGTTCAAAGATTAGTTTATATTTGATGAGCACCACATGATGATAAAGCACTAAAATTATATTCAATACATTTTTAACAGAAACAAGTAACTTGACAGAAAATAGTTTATTTGGATTACATAATCTGAAAATTACAATAAATTGAAAGTATTTTCAGAAAAGTATTTTCAAAAAGTTTTTCAACACTCGGTCACTTTTCTTTGAGCGGACTCACCTGAACTTTTACTGGATAGCAAGATTCAAATCATACACCATCCTGCAGCTTTTCAAAGATATATTTTTCCAGAAATTTCCAAGATGTAAAAAATAATCTAATGTCAATTAGTTATAGCATTCAATTGGCTAATTCATATATTTTTATACTTTCCATTACTAAAAGAATTGCTAACACTTAGTTCCATAACTAAATGATCACAAATATGTACTAAACTTATGTATAATTCCAGACCAAAGATAAAAAGTTAAAACCAAAACCCCATAAAATAATATTAGACATTTTCCTCCTTTCCACTGACAATGCCTTCAATGCTAAGAATACTTAAGTAGTGAAAGGGAAGACTAAAAAAAAAAAAAAAAAGCTTAAATTGTGGAAATGATGAATGGCCCAACAGCACTTAAAAGCCAACTCAGCAAAGCTGAACAGATCTCCTTCCCCCCAGTTAACAGTACCCAACAACAGAAGAAAAGTAGCTTAATGAACAGCAAAAGTAATGAATGTTGATTTCCTGTAGAATTCTGTTTTCTCACAAAACATCAGATCATCACTGTTGTCATGACATTCATAACTCATCTTTCTCATTTATAAACATACTTTTCTTTCTGCGATTTCTCATAGAAGTTGTGCTCCTACAGTAACCTTTGTTGCCAAGTCTACAGAAGAGGTCTCAGAATCTCTTACAGTTAGCTGCCATTTCAACTAAACTAATATCTCATACCTGCTATCCTTCTCAAATTTGACTGAAGCTAAACAAATATAATAAAATTTAAAAAGTTCGGATGGTGGATAGGATAGAGGAATTTGGAAAGGTAAAGCAATTATTTAAATCTTACTTCCTTAGGAAAGCAGGTTAAAACCAAGGACAAAATGTGGCAATAAAGAGAGCAGAATATGCTTTTTGCCATATTGACATGACATGTTAAGTCTGATTTCTGGTAAACAAGTGGTCTATTTTAGTACACAATATGCTGCTTCTAAGCAAGCATGGTGTAAGTTTTCATGCCTTCAATTTTTTTGTGGATTGTACTCAGTAATTTCATACATACAATTTAGGACTACACAATAAATGAAAAGCAATCCATTAGCTTTAGTGGATGCTGGATTAAGTGTCAAACTTTAATATTTGCAGTGGATATTTAATGAAGAATTATCTTCAGGAAATGTAAATAATTATATAACTTTTTTTTTACATAACAAACCACAGATTTTTTGTTACATGCATATATTTCAGCTTTTATCTTACTGGTTTTTGTTTTTAAAGGAACAAGGTCAAATTAAGAGATCAGAAAATTAATGTATGAATATACACATCAAAACAGCGTCCACACATATGGCCTACCAACTGCTTCATTACATACTTTGCGACATTTGCAATCTCATGAATCCTTTATTAGAAGCATAATTTTCTCAGCCTTAAAACTATAATGAAAATTCACAAACCTGCAAAGCATCAATTGCATTTTGAAAACAGCTTAATTGCCCAGCAATACTCTTGGAGACTGTTACCAGATGATGCCACATGAGTGACAAATAATCTTCACTTTCATCTTTGAATTTCTGAATGTCCATCATAAAATTATATCCCAGCCTTGCCTTCACTATAACCACATGTTTAAAAATCAATCTAGAAGAGGAAAAAAAAATACTACAAATTACTCACATCTCTATTAGGAAATTACTTTTTGAGTAGGAGAGATAAACTAGTTCACATCAATATAGGGCAGAGATGTAAATGTTCATAAAACAACATAAATCTTTGCAGAAGATCATAAATCTTTGAACTCGGATAAGACTTTATCTAAACTGTACTCTAGATTTCCATAGACAATACTGTAGACAATTTAGCTTCCTTCTAACATAAAGGAATCTGCAGCTAGGAATATTAAAATTTTTTATTATTCGGAAATCCATTTTCCCTATTCCATTTTCTTGTAAAAGTTATATAGCACTTATGTATTAAAGTTTAAAAGCTGAAATTCACAAATATTATGAACAGTTTAATGATAAGAAGCAATGTCAACATATGTCTTTTCACGGAAAAAACACACCCATATTTTCAGCCTGTATTTCAAATGTTGTAATTGACAAAAATGTAACCACGGTATCATCATAACAATGTGAAAAAAAGAAAAAAAAAAAAAGAAAAAAAAAGGAGAAAAAAACAGACAGACCTTATGACAGAAATTTAAATTTTATACTGCTCAAGAATTACAAGACTCATTTTAATAAAAATAAGTCAATCAACTTACAGTCTGTGTCTAGTCCGAGGCAAAACCTGAACAGCTTCATCTAGCACTTTTAGTGCTGTCTCCCAATCAGCTTTATCAGCATGTATGTGAAATAATAACCCATATAAAGAGGTTCGCAGCGTCAGATCTTCCTCAGCACCTTTGAAGTGTGTTCAAATGATAAATGATTTATTCATATACTTCAAAATTAGGACAGTTGCATCACAAAATACTGTGGTGGACAGAGAGGTTTATAACCAAATCAAAGCAAAGAAGAACATGCCTGGGAGAAAGTGTCCAAGTGATAATTCATTACTTAGAAAATCCTTCGTAAGCCACTGATGCAAAGGCAATGTATCATTCTTTTCCTAAAAAGACAAAGAAAACTGTCCTTTATCTTTTCATTAGAATATGTCTCGAAGCATTGTTGTGCTTTTTTTTTCTCTGACTAATTCATAGATTTAATAACCTAGTGATATGAACTACAAACTGAATACAAACACTTCACCTTATTACTTGAATAGCTATTTGTGCAGAAAATGAAAACTACAACTGTTTATCAAGAATGAATTCTATAATGTGCAACCAGAACAGCAATAACCAGACTCAGCAGCGCTCAGACAGTATTCCTACCCTAATTAAATAACATGAGACAATAAAATACTGTATTGTAGAACCACGGGACAGCCGAGGGCAGCAGGATCTCCCCTTAACCTGGAACACTGGGCTAAAGCAACTCCTTATAAAGCTGAGAGTCCCCTAAGCATTCAGGTGGAAGAAATATATTAGCATTTGTCGACTTCTTGCAAGGCTGAGAGACCCCTGTACGCTCAGGGTGAAGAAATTCTATAGCATTTTACCAGGGGCAGTGTACTCCATTTAGTTGAGCTAATCGCTAATTATTAATTAATAAGCCTATCCCTATAACAATCACACCAGTTAGTGATAGATGGTTGTTATCACAAACATCTTGCACTGGTGAAAAAAATCAGCAAATGAAACATGAATTTAACTGTTAATGAGCTAGCAGCACACATTGTGCTTTTGGGTGCACATCATACTCACTAATTTTGTCTCCTAATGGCTTTGAATAAAGTAGACTAGTTACCATATCTGATTGCTAGAGATTTACATGTGACATAAGGGGAAAGCAAAATTAAGTTTCTACTCTTGTACTACATTGCTAGATGATCTCAGGTGCACACCTAGTGTCACACTGGCATCACTGAACTTGAATGCAAAAGTTACTACTAAAACTTTTAAGGTTTGATTTTATGTCCACTGAAATGCACGGAAAGCTCCGATCAGCTTCAGTGACAGGTAATTCTAGACAGAAATGTATCAACTACAGGGAATTTTGTAGTAAGAAAACAAAAAGCTCTAAACATACATGGACCTTTCATTGTGCAGAAGAAATTTGATGTGACAAGATCCGTTATCTGTTACACGTTACCTACACACTTAAACACTGCATATTATTTTAACAGGTTTCTTCAGTTTACATATATTGTTCATAAAGGAAATCTGCAGATATATAATTTTATCAACACCTAGCACTTTTTGAATTATAATTCTTCCTACCACCTAAGTGCCAAACACACTACTAAAAACTGACTTAAGATATATGAATTTTTTGTTTTTTCCAGGTAGAAATGAAAACAGAATCTGCAGTTGAGAGGAGCAGTAATCTAGTGGTACGTTTTTCTTTTTTTTTAAGGTCTATCATCATCCTCCATGGAAATGACAGATTTTTTGGGGAGGGGATTTTCTAAATATTCTCATTTGAAAGCTTCACAGAGTGAGACACTATTAAAACAAACAAAAAAAACAACTCCAATCCTAACAGTGGCCTTAACCAGAAAAACAGTAAAATGGAGAAAGAGTATGTGGTTGCATGCATGCATATATGTGTGTTACATGAATGCAGGTAAGAAAACTTTATTCCCCCTTAGGAAAGGTAACTCTGAAGAAGGTACCCATGGCTTCAAAGCAAAGCATAATTTTTAAAATCAATACCAGCCACTAAACACAAGCACAGCTAATAATAGCTGTTAGATATTCTTACCTGTTTATTTTTAGATTCTGCTTTAATTATATGCTTGAGAATTACTTCAGTAGATTCTTTAAGCTGTTCTCTGTCATATGGAGAACCTATCAAAGGTAAGCATGTATTCCAAAACTGTCTAGCTGCATACATTACAAGGGAATAATTTCCTGCTTCACCTGCATATCTGAAGAAAAGAAAGTACATTTTAATGGAGGAAAAACTCGTGCTCTAACCAGAATAAGGATTTTTCTGCTACAACAAAATCTGTGGCTTAGAGAGAGCTGAGAGAGCTAACTTTGACCTCTTCAGGGGCCTACTTGGATGAATCCCCTGGGCCAGTGCCCTAGAAGGAAAAGGGATCCAGAAGAGTTGGCACCACTTCCTCCAAGCTTGGGATTGGTGCATTCGTACAAGAAAGATGTCAAGCAAGGGGGGCAGGAGACCTGCATGGATAGGCAAGATGCTCATGACAAACCTGCTAACCTTCTATGATGGGATGACTAGCTGGATGGTTGGTGGGAAAGCCAAGGATGCTGTCTACCTTGACTTTAGCAAGGCTTTCGACAGTCTCCCATAACATCCTCATAGGAAAGCTTCGGAAGTGTAGGCTGGGTGAGTGGACAGTGAAGTGGATTGAGAACTGGCTGGATGTCAGAGCTCAGAAGGTTGTGATAAATGGAGCCCAAATTAGCTGGAGGCCTGTGGTGTCTCCAAGGCATCAATATTGGGCCCGGTACTGTTCAACTTGTTCATCAATGACTTGGACGCAGAGGGCACCCTCAGCAAGTTTGCAGACAATACCAAACTGGGATGAGCGGCCAACACTCCCGAGGGCTGCGCTGCCATTCAGAGGTACCTAGACAGGATGGAGAGTTGGGCAGAAAGGAACTTCCTTGCTGTGAGGGTGCCCGAGCCCTGGCACAGGCTGCCCAGAGAGGCTGTGGAGGCTCCTGCTCTGGAGATCTCCAACTCGCCTGGATGTGCCCAGGTGCCCCGTGCTCTGGGTGTCCCTGCTGGAGCAGGACTTGGACTAGGTGATCTCTAGAGGACCCTGCCAACCTCAAACATTTTGTGAGTCTGTGATTCTGTGATCGCCATATACATTTCACCAATGAGAGGTTAGCATATGAGCTCACTGTAAAATATATCTTCCATTTTTGTATACATAGAACACCTTCCCATACTCAGCAAAAGCAGTAATAACCTGGTATTGCATTGATGTTTTTACTGTATTCCCATGCAACATAAGACTCTTCATTATAAAAATTATCAAAAATCTACGTGAGATTTTTTTCCACTGGTATAATCTCCTTTGTCTGAATTCCTATTCTGTTGGTTTCTCATTATAAAAAAAAATAAAAAACAAACAAAAAATCTTAGCATGCTAAGTACACATGATAGTACACAGTACAAAGTTATTACCACCCTCTCCTCTCCTTATGCCACATCCAAGCTCCTGTGCCCAGTTCTGGGCCCCCCAGTACAGGTAAGATATGGACCAAGCACAGCGAGATTTGCAGAGAGCCATTGAGATGCTGGAGCACTTGCCCCGTAAGGAAGGGCACAGGGAAGGGAATTGGTTTGTCCTGGGAAATGGTGGCTTCAGGCCAACCTGACTAGGAGATTATTTAGAAGACAGAGCCAGGCTCTTTAGAGTGGTAAATAGCAAGAGGAAGAGTACAAAGAGCATAAACTGAAACAGGAAGATTCAGACTGCCTGTTAGGGAGAAACCTTTTCACTGTGGGGGCAGCTGAGCAATGGAGCAGGTTAATCAAACAGGTCATGTAATCTCCACCCTTGGAGATTTTCTGGCTCTGCTTTGAGCAGGAGGTTGGACTAGAGGCCTACTGAGCTCTCTTCTAAACTGGGTTATGCTATAATTCTACAATGCAAAAATGCCAGGTACATGGAAGATGTGGTACTTGATGATCTTAGTAAGCTCTAAAATTCTGTCAAATCCTTTGTTAAGCATTCAAGTTACAAATATTTTTATCAACCTCAGGAGAGAAGAATAAGCTGTGCCAAAATCAGTCAAAAATTAACTGTATTTTGTATTAGTCTACTTTCTCAATATAAAACATACCTGGCACTCTGAACAAAGGCTTTTGATGCTGCTACACGCAGATGTTTTTTCCCAGACAAATTTGCCATTATATTCTTCCCCTGTATACAGGCCGCAGTACTTAACATTTCTTGTCTCATAGTGTTTTCAGGCCTGAGTAACAGCAAATAATTCAAGACTAGTCTTACAGAATACGATCCTATTAACAGTGCTTTCATTTTGTTACTAGGTTGACGTCCTCACCTTTTTTACATGCAAGTGCTTTGACATACATTTCTATTAAAACCAGAATATATTTGAAAAATTGAACATTATGTGAGCAGATATGAGAAATAAAATTTCTTCTTAACTCTAGCAAAAATAACCGTGGAGTCTGATAAAAAACAAACTATTTACACTTAATGAAGGGAAAAAATAGATTTGGGGGTTTCTCCTCGCTATTCCCCACTATCTGTACAGTGGTACATCAAACAAAAGATTAACTCAAAGTCCAAACTAGACATCTAGCATTTAAAAACAGAAATATGGAAAACGGGATATAGTTCCTGATATATATCTTGATATAATTCTTGATCTCCCTTGTGCCTGATAAAAACATGAATAAGGCCTTGAAGAAATTGACTTAAATTGTACTGTAAATTTAGAAGTGGAAAATATAGATGTCAATAACAGGAAAGAGATAATTCATAAAATGAAATTCCATTCTAGCATATTTGGATAAGGCTGATTTTTTAAGAAAATAGGTAACACAAATTTCATTTTTTTTTAACGTTTTGGTTACAATGTACAACCATAATAAGACCTGAACTGTAGACATTTGTGAAGAAAAAGAAAATAACTTCTTTAGGGAACTCGTGTTTACTAACTACTCATTTCTCGGTGGTGAGAACTGGGCAGTTATGGCTGTGAGCACGAGAGGGCACCAGAGCTCTACCGCAGAGCTTAACGAGGCAATTCAAAGCCTCTATGTCTTTGTCCTTTAGGTGCCTTTTACCATAAAAAGATTGAGTAAGTTTATCTTTCATTTCTTCATTACTACTTCCTGTGGCAAAGCACAAAACGTTATCATTCAGTATATTCATCACACATTTTCTCTAGTTTTCCAATGCTCTTGAAGTATGTACTTCATTTTTAAGTATCTTATTTAGGAGAAAATTTGATTTCACACACATAGTGAAAAACTGAATCTGACATAGCTCATGCATTTTTTCATGGAGGGTCACAGAAAAATAAATGCTAAATTATATTCAAAATGTACGATGCATTTATCTTCCTATGTTAAAAAAAAAAAAAAAGGAAATGAATTCAGGTTTGAGTAACTTGCATTTAGTTTTGGTGGAACTTGCATGAAAAGCTGAATCACCTAGGACTGTCATCATTTCTGAAATAAAGGATCCCACCAATACATCCACTTATAACTGTTTTTTTTTTTTTTTTTTGGAGATAGAAGTTTTAAACTAACATTTCAGTAAGGCCTTGGGCTTTTTATAAAAATGTCCCCATTGCTCCCATATAAATAGGCAGTATTAAACAATTGTGAGCCCTGCCACATGACCGCAGGAGACGGTAAGAATTTATAGTGAACACCATGACTTGGGGCTAGACTTAAGATCAAATCTTGAAAAAAAAAAAGCAGCTGCCATCACCTATTGTCACTCATAGCTTTGGCTTCTTCTGTGAACACTGGACAAGCTTCTGCATATCAGAGCGTGCACAGCATTGGAAGTAATTAGAATTAGCACAAGTATTAGAATAAGCTATTTTTTGCTTGGAAAACATAAAAATAGGATAAGACTGTGACTGCCAGAGACTCCAGAAAAGCACTGCTCTCCAGAAGACATTTAAAGGCATATGTGCCCTGCTGACTCACATGGAATAGAAAATTCATATCCCTTCCTGAACTGAGATCAGACTCAGTCTAGATTTTGCACTGTCTTTTACCCAGGCTATATTGGAGGGCTAAAATCTAGCCTAAGTACTTAAGTAACTGTTGAAGACAGAATTGGAAAAAAGAAAATTTGGTTCACTTTTGCATTTACCCCATATATTCATTCTTCAAAACTTAGCTCAAATATGACATATCATCACATAAAATTCTATATACTTACATTTCACATTTCCCAGTGTCATTATTGAAGCAAAAATTATCAGCTGACTGCAAGATCCTTTGGGAACAAGTCATCACTATTTCATATTCATGTGATACATATGCAAAATGCATAAGTCGTGTCAGTGTCTGTAATTCCACAAATGAATCTGACCAGGGACAATCTAAAGCCAATTTCACTAACTGTAAAAAATATTTAAAACTATTATCATGCTTTTATCGTGGTCTTTTTATGTACAACAGTTATTTATGCTTTTCACACCAGCTTCCTCAGTATACATTCATATTACTGTAAGATTTTAAAAGTGAATCACGTGCCACATATATTTATTTGTGTAACGTACTAATAAATAAATACTTATATAATACGTATTACTTATGTAATACTTACATAAATACTTACAGCTGTACTTTCATAGCATTGAGAAGCATAACAAAATGGACAGTGGACAAAGAAACATCATTCACCCTGTGGTATTATGACTGTAATGTAAAACCAGCTACAAATGTGTGCGGCTTTTTGACCAGCACTATCTGTCAGCAATCACTGCATGTTCACAGTTCTCTTCTCCTGATGGTCAGAGTGGAATAGGACATTTGCAATTCAAAGCCCTTGTAGTTAAGCCAAAGAGAAGCGAGAGAGACAGACCTAGCTCCATAACAACATTGTTTTAAGGATATATAGTTTCATTGCAGTACCTAAATGATTTGCGAGCTTTTGTATGTGTCAGAAAGCATCACCTTCTGAATGAAGATAATGGGAACTGTTGATGAATGGGGCACAAAGAGAATATTACAGTATAGCTCTTCCAAACCAAGCCACTGTTAAAGCAAACTCATAATATTTGGTAGAAATATTTAGATCAAGTGAAATTAGACACCTAAAGATTTACCAGGAACCAGACCCTACTCTTTAGGGAAAAAGATTTCTACAGAAGTTTTAGATGATTTTGTAAGATTCCTAGTTGACTGATGGGGAAATATGTCACAGTCCTTTAAGAAAGCTCTTTACAGCAGAAAGTAAAAACGCTATATACAGTAAACAAACAGGCAAAACTGCAAAGGGAATTCTGACACAACTCACTGCTTTGAAAATACAGGGTACAAACCTTTTATACACCCTCTTTGTTTCTCTTGAAGAGGCTGGTAATCAGTGGGGCTGGAGGGTAAGTTTGGCAATATTCAGCATGAGCAATAATGGAAGGCTGATCCAAAGCACTTTAAGAATCCATGTTAAGAATGTGATTCCACTTTGCATGAAACCCACTTTATTTTTTAAATAACGAGTTTTAGTTGTCTTCTACCTTGCAACTTCCGAAGTAAGTTTACTGTAACACTATGGTCTGTGCTGAAATTCTGAGCACTTTCGATACATATCCTAAGATAAGGTTTTATCTTCTGCACAAAAACATAAGATCATCAATACAGATCAATTTAGAATGCATTTGCCAGCCATGAGTATAATCAGTTACACTAATGGTATCCTACCTGTTTTATGGATAAATGCAAGTATTCCATCAGAAAAATCTTTCGCTTGCTATAGTTATTAAATTTCTTGGAATGTTTAAAATAAAAAAATGGTGTAAGAAAGGTTTCACAATTAATTATTTTTGTCTCCACCCAAAACTAAGGCTGAAATCACTTTTATACATGTGCATGAAAGTGCAGGCACTTTCTTAAAACTCAATAGTAATATAAAACTAACCTGAGATAAGCTGGGAACAGTGAAATCCATGAGACCCAAGTTGTTACATGAATACATCTCTAGACCAGTAAGAACTCTTGTGTTAGGATTTTCTGCTTCATCATTATTCTGAGTGGTAAGAGGAATTTCACACTTAGAGATTTTTTTTTCCAAGTAGACTATTATGAAAGACATTAAAGGAGATGAAAAAGCATAGTATCTACAGTTATCTCAAAAAAAGCATACTATCTACAGAAACCTCAATTCCTGTTGTAAGTAAGTCTACTGTTCTTTATTGTGCTGTTAAATGATAAATTTGGGTATTTTGCTTTTGTTTGTTCTCTTTACTAACACTGGGAAACTTCGAACTGCTACTCTTTCAATATATAGAAAAACATATCAACAATACAATGAATATAAATTCCATATATCCTGATATATGGATATATATATCCTAATATATGCTGATTTTACTTAACATGTTTAAAATAAAAAGTTAAGGATAAAATACTGATTTTCAACTTACTAGTTTCATATTCCATATATATCTATCAGTCTTTAGTATGGACTCTTTAAATATGTATCTAGATATAGGTAGATATATATATAAGGAGTTCACATTAAAGGCTAACATTCGCTGATTTTTATCAGGTATTTTAAGGTAGTCATTTTATTATTTTAAAAGTATCAATTCATAAAACAGCTTTGTTATACAGTCTTAATATGGCAAACATCACTGTACTTATTCTGGGTAACTAAAAACAGAAGGCAGAATTAAGAAATGCAGACCCATTGCCATACCTGACACGAAAATTTGTTGCATTTAGTAGTGATCTGTGTGAACACTTCCAACATTTTTTCCATATTGTATTCAAATATATGTAGAAAATACTCATAGATAACTCTATTATTGAATGAATCTATAAACGTAATTAGAATTATTCACAGAGAAGTTTCAGTGTTAAACCAGATTACAGAGAAATAATACCTCCTCCTCAGTCACAAGTTTAAGCCCAATCTGCTGATGATGCAACTGTTTTGCTTTCACCCATGTAGCAATGATCTGTTGTTGTACAGACATAGGTACCGTTTCAGTAGGTACAGTTCTGGCTATCAAATTTAGGGCAAATTCACAAATCTAAACACCAAAAAGACAAAGAGATTGAAATGTGCACAGATTTTGTATAGAACATAAGTTGTCAGTGAGCTGTATTACTGTTACCATGAACGAATCTCTATGCTTAACATCTCTATAACTAGCACGGCAAATAAAACTTGCAGTCTTCAGCTTCAACTAGTAAGAAACTTCACTATGGATTTGGAGAGCAGCTGGGATCAAACTATAAAAGCGGGCAGCTTGGTTTTCTTGACCGAATTTCTAGATTTTAAATTTATATGCAGTGCAATAAATAAATGAATGCAGACAAAAGAAAAGAAAAAAAAAAAAAGGACTGGAATAATGAGGACTTTTTACCTCTATGGCTGCCTTGATATCAGGAAGTCCACTGGGATCTACTGACAAAAGCTGGGTGAAACTTGCTTTCTCAGGTCCCTTTGTCACAGCTTTTCTATTTCTGTCTGTTGTTGCATCTATTTTTTTCTTCTCAACAAGTTTTGGTTTTGGAATCCAGCAAAGAATTAAGCCCCGAGCCAAAGCATTACATAACATCAGTAAAATTACAGTACTTCTGGAAAAGAAAAAAAAAAAATCAGAACTGCAAAGTGCATCACACCAAGACAAGAGAAAGTAATTAGCTTTACTTTAAAATCCAGATATTTTTAGAAAGAGGAGTTATGGATGTTACAAAAATATCCCATTGGAGAAGCAATTAAAATGTTTAGCTTTCATACTTTGTATCATATTCTTTCCTAGTCTTCCTATAACTGAAGCTTCTTTTTCCTCACAGAAAAAAAAAAAAACAACAAAAAGAAATATTCTTAACTATGTAAAACATGGACAATTTTCAAAACTTGGTTTTATAGTGGGCCAGTATATAGAAAATAAAAGCTATTTCATAATAATCTAAACCAAACACTTTTTTTTAATTTGCAATAGTGTATTATTTTATATGAGAATTAATTGCTGAACTGGAATTATCACAATTTTCTTCTGAGGAAGCTCAAACCAAAATATGACTGAGAGATTACTGTTGACTCTATTACCACATTCTAAATACCAAAATTAATAACTATTACTAGTCTTCATCCTTGCATAAACTGCACTCTAATCTTTGCTCTACAATATTGTTAAAACTCTTTGCTGCCGCTCCTCACAACTTCTTAGTGTTGAAGTCACTGTCAATCATTCTCCCGCTGCATCCATCGCAGAACAGTATTTCTCTAAAACACTGGAAAATTGGTAGTCCCATTTTCACGAGCATCCTCTCTTAATTTTCTTCTCTCTCCCCTTTTAGATTTCAGAACCAGTAAGTTACTATCTTATTCTGCATAGAAATACTTACAGTAAACAATATATAGTAAACTTCAGAGCAACACACAACAAGCAAATACTTTTCAAATGCTTTTCAAGCTATCCTGAAAACAGAGAGTATGAAAGAAATTTTTCCTGATTCTTTTTGACAAGGTCGACAAAGAATTATTTCACAAGTCTTAGTCTAAAATTAATATGGCTTGCAGTAAACCGCAAGAATGTTGTATAGAAGGGTTTAAGCCTTCATTTTCAAACCACAAAAGAGAGTTGATTTTCTGAAATATTCCACATACTACTTCTAATAAAAGACAATAACAACATTCATTCAACATTAGAGAGATTTACTCTGTTTTTTAGAGTATTTTTGGAATTCATATATTTGCTTCAGGGGGAAAAAAAAACATGCTCGTAAGCAAACTTATCTATTTACCCATTGTGTCCAACATTCTTGATTGCTCTAAGAAGAGTCTGCAGATGCTCAATGATCTCCCTCTGTCTGCCTGCAGTGATAAGATGTTTATTGTAGTTTAAGACATAGACCACAGCATTGTGAACAATCCAGGCTTCATTTAACTCTTCTCCTATTTCAGCTGCACGTTGAAAATTTTCCATAGTGTACTGAGACAAGGAGTTGATCCAGGAACTATAAAATTAATATGAACCTATTAATCCAAAATTTTAACACTGAAATAGATGCATCAGAAAAGTATATATGCAAGAGTATCTCAATAACAAAAAAAAGTTTTTTGGAATTACTTTTGGGTTGCCTTTATTAGGTTTTTATCTATTAAAATATTTTACCTAAATGGGGAGATGAATCGGGAAAGGAATTACTATCCACATAAAATGATTAGTCTCTGACATTCCAGTACTAACAGCTTAGAAAACTAGTACCTATAATCTGTTTCACGCATTGTCCATGGGATTTTATAAAAAGTGCGCATGAATCCACACATCAGTGCTAGAAATCATTAAATATCTATGACAGTTTTAACTGGATAGAGATATAAGCAAGGCATTCCTTTCAAGTGTTTAGGAACTGTTTTTTTCACTTACATGCATGCCTTCTTACACTCAAGTGGATGTTCTAAATGTTCTGAAACACTACATTAATCTTTTTATAGGAAATAACATCTTTTCATAGCTTATGCAACATCATTCTTTTGTGCATATACCAATTTTTCAGATATTTACTGCATCCATCATTTAGAAAAAAATACTAAAAACAGAATCTTGAATGACAAGTCATGGTTAAATCAAGAAATCAAAAGCAGAAACTGATGCAGAGTATTACTGTACAACTGTACAATGTATACTGACAAAAATGCTTTTTTTCTATAGGTTTTTAGTTTGACAAGAAAGACAGTGGCACAATAAGTAAACTGGGTAAGCTAGAAACAGAATCCTCATCTTCTATATTCCTTGGTTCTGACCAGTTTATACGTTTTCCTGGTTTACTCAACATTTGCAAGCAAATGATGAGAAAAAAATATTTAATCATCAATAATGTGCAGAGAATGCACAGTTAACTTTATTTCACAGCTTAGGTAAACACTGCCGACATCCTGCTATTTCCAATCATGATGACCACTATAACAGAAATATTAGTATCAATATAAACAGAAAAGAGTTTAAACATCATCTTTAGAAGTCTCTCCCGCTCTTCTTTAGCAACAAATAATACTGTGAGACTAGAAAAAGGAAAGGTGCTATAGTCTATTCTCCTTTATTCATTCCTTTTCATTGGAAGCAACAGAATAGCTTTGCCAACTTAACTAATTCATTGCATGTTTGTTCAGGTACTCAAACATCACAAAAGTTTTAGGAGCTATCAAGAAACACATATTTGGGGAAAAAATATGTATTTTATATATCTTTTTTCATAAAGAATTTCATTGTCCAAATATCTATATATGTATATATAGATACATAAATCTCTCTATATAATATAGATTTATAGATCTTGTTATAAATAGAAACACCTGTATATTTTCCACTCTGGATCACTTTCAGAAAGACATGCAACATATCCTGTGGGATGCTGACTTGTATCTTCTGGAAGTACAGCACGATTATTCAGTTCAATCCCTTGCAATCTTAATAAATGAACCGTTGCCTAGAAAGATACAGAGAACATATTTTCTACACTGTTTATCATTCTGAAAATAGATTTTGCCTTAGTATTTGCGCCAGAAGGAAAAATACAATATTTATTTTTCCTGATTTTGTGTAGGAATACAAAACCTGCTTTGAGAAATATAATGTAAGGCAGTTCATAATTTTCCAGAGGTCCACAATTAATTTTATTAAATAAACTACTCCATTAGGAAAAATAACATAGAAAAACCCCTTTTATCTTACTGAAACTTTAAGGCTTCAGAAATACAATAGCGGATATAACAGGTTTAGAGTAATATCTTTCATAAAAAAGAAACGGACTAAACAAATCACTAAAAATACAAACTATGGATATAGCTAGTTGTTTGGAGTAATTTTATGAAGTTGCTTCATGAAACTATATGCATAATTACTAAAGTCAACATAAAATGAAATTGAACAAATATGAATGACACTTTGTTTACCTCTGCATTAATGAATCTTATTTCTGCTAACATTTTGAGTAAATCTCTTTCAAAAGAGAAAGATTTAGCAGGCAGTAATGATTCCCCTGGCAAGCTGCTGCCTTGATCATCATCCATAACTATACTAGCTTTCTTCTTCTGTGCTTTGGGAAAAAAAAATCATTTAATACCATTAATATTATGAGGCAAAAAGGGAAAATAAAATCACCTTAATTTTAGAATTAAAAAGTCTTTATATAGCCATAGTCTTTATATAGTCCACCATAAAGAGTCCATGAATAAAGATTTTATATTACTTCAATCCTTTTTTCAGTTATGAGAATTTATTGCTCTCAAAACACATTCAAACACAAGTCTCAGTGTTCATACAAAAATTGTATTAACTTCATACAGTGCATATTCTCTAATTCAATTTTCAATGGAAGTGGGGTGATCTATGCAACGATAGAGACTAAAATCTCAATGTGCTTAAATCATGGATGGGGTAGACTTTCTGGAAAAATAAACAGTAACGAAGAGAAATGTTTAAATAACAGAGAGAAAGGAGCAAGATTATTTTAATTGCAACATGAAACATTAAGAAAAACAAACACACACACACACATAAAAAATTTGTCAGATTAAGTTTTTTTGGCCAGAAGCAGCTGCTTGACTTCTAATGAAGTTTTCTCTCTGAAAACATGACCCAGCTTCAACAACCTCATAGCAGGTTCTGTTTAGACATTTGAACAACCCCTGCTTATTTGTGAAAAGTGTCCCTTGATCTCCTGCTTATTCAGTTTAGACTTACACAGAAAAAATTATAAAGCTCTATAAACATCCAGAGCATAAGGACTTCAGAAATCTATGAGAGTGAGTAAATTAATGTCCTACTTTAAGAGAAACCTGGAAACAGTCCAGAGAAAAAAAATCTGGAATAGGTTCAAAAAGCTGTTTACTAGGATTTCATCTATTCCTAGCGGTAAGTTAACAACCGCCAGGAAAGCAGGCTTGATCAGACATGTAAAAGTCAGCAAGCAGCTCATATTTGAAACTGCTCCCTCCCTCAGTTGAGAACCCTCTGTTAACATGTCTCGTAGTTCTGTAGCAGACCAAGGTTCTCATACATCTTGAAGGAACCATTAATGAAATTTAACAGGTGAGTCTCAGCAGAAATGACAGATAATCCATTTTCCTTCAGCTTCATCAAGTAATTAAGTATGACAGAGAGGTGTAATATGAACAGCAGGGAATTAACTTAATTTCTTAACTAGGTATGTGCACTTCACAAATGAGTATTTTTCTCTAATGCTGGTAGAAATGCTTCTTAGGCAAAGCAGGTTTTGCACTGAAAAATGTAATTTCTAGATTTGAAGACAAAAAGAGAGAAAGTTTTTCCATGTTTACCAACATGCAGTGAGGACCAACGAAATATTTCCATTGAATTACCATGAAAATTGATAACTCCAAATCTACCTCCAAAACTTACAGATACTATGGAAGTAGCCTTAGTTTAAAAAAAAAAAAAAAGAGAGAGACTAAGACAATGATGTGTTACATCAGCTGGAATACCATACTAAAACTTTTGCTGACTCTTTCAAGTAACTCTAATAAAGGAGAGAAAAAAGTTCCCTTTAGAACATTCAAATTAATTTGGCCACTTACTTTTTTTCAGTTTTGTTACCTTTCTATACAAAGTATCATCATACAGGAGACAAAATCTGCAGGCTGTGCGGCAGACATCCCACACTCCTTGTTTACGTGCAACTTTTGCCAAATCTGCCCAAAGTCTAATTCTGTCAAATAAATGGTACACATAAAACTATTTAAGATATTTTATAAGAAGAATTACTTTTAATAGATCTTAGGATCCATTAAAAATATGTAAATTATGATGGTTAACATAAACAAGATTTTAAATCTAATAAAATTTATTACACAGAATAGCAACAGCAATGAAGTAAACTGCTGCCCAACTTTCCATTAAAATACAGAAGGAATAGAACCATTAATTACTCTATTCATTTTAAAACAGAAATCCTTTTGGCTTATGTTATGCTGGATAATAACTATACCAGAATTTCTAAACTTGTTTGGGGCATAGCCCTATCTACCTATTCTTCCTACAATTGATTTCTTATTGTTCTCAATAAGGACCAAAAAAAGATGGGATTGTTCTTAAAAAAGACACAGCATACAGTTCTGCAGAAGGATATAGAGAGACATTTGGGGAATATTTCAGTTGTACATCAAGTTATTCAGCATTTCCGATTTAATTCACCAATTCTTTCACACATGTTTTTCAATAGAACAGATGAGTTTATGTGTGCATGTGAGAGAGAAAAGAGAAATAGAGTAAGAATATGATTATACTTCTTATGTGAATTTAATGGAAGCATTCAGACACAGAGCTACATGCATGCTTAAATGCTTTGCCAGGTCTGACTGAAACCTCTTACAAGTTATGACCTTAACAGCTGTTAAGAAGAACAGTTACTTTACACATTTCTAAACAACAACAACAAAAAAGTGACATTTATTTTCTATTACCTATCTTTGTCATTTTCATTTCCTAAGCGTTTCAAATGTCCATCAACTTTCTCCACACTTTTAATATGATGTTGTGCCTTTGCACTGAGGTAGCTTATTTGACTCCTACTTTTACCTGAGAAAACTTAAGAAAAGATAAAAAGAATTCAAGGCAATTTTGAAATATTATCGCTGAAAGGCACATGAGGGGAATACATTTGGATCCATAACTCATTTCTGAACCATTTGAAATATTGTCCTTTGATTGGTCCTTTACGCTTTCCCTAAAACAAACAAACAAACAGAAAGAAAAAAAAAAACCCTACATCCATCTCTATTTTGCTTGTCTGTATCTTCAAACGTAACTGTCATGAGCAGAAACTGAGTCATGTCTGTTTGGTCCCAAAACATCCCCAGTATCACTCTTCTGGGAAGACTGCTCTAATCAAGTTCCCATCAACAGGAGATGGATATAGTAACAAAGTTGACATTCTTTCTGCATTTTAATAACACTTAAACATTCAAATTGTGGCATAAAGAATGTAAATAATCCATGTTTTAGAAAGTAAAACATGAATTCTTACTTAAATCTCTGTGCAGGATCCACAAGCAAAAAACAAATTAGAACATAAAGGCAACCATAATATATAAAGAAGACAAAGTGCAGTAGGTAATTAACAGAGAATATTATGAGGTGAAACTTCTAAAATACCATTTAACAATGGCAACGGGTAAGAATATCTTCAGGAGTTCCACAAAGAGAAAATAAATTACTGCACCTAGTGTGGAGTACTGTGTGTAGTTCTGGGCTCCCCAGTACAAAAGGGACATGGAACTACTGGAGAGAGTCTAATGTAAGGCTATGAAGATGGTGAGGAGACTGGAACATCTCTCCTTTGAGAAGGGCCTGAGGGAGTGGGGCCTGTTTAGATTAAAGAAGACAAGACTGAAGAGAATGTTATTAATATGTACAAATACTTTTAAGGTGTCAAGAGGCTGGGGCCAGACGCTTTTCAGTGATGGCCACCGACAGGAGAAGGGGCAAAGGCCACAAACTGAAACACATGAAGTTCTGCCTGAATTTGAGGAAAAACTTCTTTTTGACGGCAGGGGAGACAAAGTAGTGGAAGAGGTTGTCCAGAGAGGTTAATGGAATCTCCTTCTTTGGAGATATTCAAACTGCCTGGATGTGATCCTGCGTAAGGTGCTCCACATAACCCTGCTTGTGTAGGGAGTGTTGGAGTAGATAATCTCCGAAGATCGCTTTCAAGCTTGATCATTCTGTGATTTTGTGGCATGCTATAAAACTCAACTGAGTTAAAAGGGGAAATAAAATCATTTCCTTTTATAGTATCATGGTATCATCTCAGCTCCCTAATTAAGTCAGTAGGAAGTTTGCCACAGCATTCAGAACTATCGCTCCACACGGTACTATAATATCTACATTGCCACTAGCTTTTCTGACTCACCTCCAGGACTGGGCACAGCAAACACACGCAAGTGTCATACTCTTTAGTCACATGCACATACTCTACCTTTAGCTTCATTTTCACTATCCAGGACTATTTGAAATGAATCAGGAGCTAGTGCAAGACCTGCATTTACCAGAAGGGACCTCTTTTTCCTCACATTATCCTTCTGCTTTCCTTTTTTAGCCTGTGTGAAGAAAAGAGCTAATTCTTATAGGTACCTTCAGACCTATTAGAGTAGTATCTACATTTTTATTAAATTGCTATTTATATATCCCATTTACTAATTATAACAAAATGCAGATCATAGAATTTGGTACTTCACAGTATTATTGTTGTTAAAAGTGACCGTAAAACTGTAGACAAAAAATATTTATTTGGAAATCAGCAATAAAGTATTCTCATCTGTGGTGCAAAAACTGATAATTACTACAAAATATTAAAATTCCTAAGGTACCCAGAACCAACAGAATTTACAGAGGCTCTAAGTGTTTTTATTAAACACAATTAAACAGATTAAGTTCCTTATGAAGATTTTCCTTATGAAAAAAAAAAAAACTAGACAAAAATTTCATTATTTATTTGTCCTAACAATACTGAATGGTACTGACAGTACTGAATTTTAAGTTCAAAGAATACATCTTAATTTCTGTGAATAACCCCGAATTTGTATATATCAGAAATTTGTTTTAGCCAACTTACAATCATTTGACTTTCGCTCATGGGCAAAGACACCGTAACAGAATTACATGGAGTAATTCTTGGCCATGATTCTTACTGGGACTTTACATTATAGAATCTAGTATTTCTGCTTTCATTTTCATTTGAAATTTGACATAATGCCAATCGATTCAAAGGCAGTGAGGATACTTAATTCTCTGGATACTGCTCCTTAAAAAAGCTGTCTCATGCAACGAAATCTTAACTGCATTCTGCATATAAACGGGCAAAACCATAAATACCTGAGCTACGTTTGCAGATGAAAGCTGTGGCAAATTAAAACTTCACTTTTTTTTTTTTTTTTTTTTTCAAAAATGAGCCTGGAATGCAAATGGAAAAAAATGTCTATCCCAATCTTTAATCTTCAGAGTATGAACTGGTGTAACCACCACACCAGAGTCATAGGGCTTGTCAGGACAACAAAACAATGTTGATTTACTGAATGCAAATGGATGTTGGTGCCACCAAAAAACATATCTACCAAATAACTGTTGTCTATAAGACTTTAAAACTCAGGTACTGAGTTTATTCTTTAAGATTACCTGTTCAATCATCATTACTGCCTGATCCTCTAGACGCTCAGGTGATGTATATAGCATAGTGCACAAACGAAGACGGTTGAAAGTCACTCTTAGATGTTCTTGATACTGTCCATTGCTATCTAGACGTATAGCCTTCTCTAAATGTTCTATGGCAGCCTCTATTCTATCTTCATCTTCTTCAATACGAGCAATTTCCATGTGAACTTGGCAACGTAACAAAATCAACATGCTAAGGAATAAGAATTTAAATGTCATAATGAGGCAAACCAAAATTCTTTAAGACATAAAAACTACCTGAAAGTGTGACTCTGATTAAAAGTAACTGCCACATACCAAAAGACAATCCCCTTTTAACTTGTCTCTTAATTTCACTGTCATGTCTTCTTAACGAATTAAGAGAATGTAACTGTATTCTTCTTCCATTAGCTCTGCACAAGAGAACACAGCTAAGCAGAAGTGCATCTTGTAAACTGACTGACTTTATGTATTATTAGCAGAACTCCTTCAGTATTGCACCTGTCACTCAGATGTTCCCATTTAGGCACGTTAATCAAGTATCAGATTTTGAAAATAATTTATCAATTTGCATGGTGCACTGCTTCACCTCACTATAGGTGTGCACACTCATTACAGGCTGCATCTTAGCCCACACATTGCTGACATCACTCTATGAAGTCAACGTGTTTTTGATGAGGGCTGTGTAATCTCCAGTCTCAAGGACACAGTGCTACCTACTCATGTTCTGCCCCTATTCGTGGCAGCAGTGGAGCACTTGTTACTTGAGTTGATTTCCAGAGAGAAATCAGGAATCAGATAAATGAAAGTGATGTTCCAAATGACAGAACACAGGAAAGTTCAAGGGCTCTGGGGTATTATAACAAACATCATGCACATCCACACTAGAGCTAACTTGACTGAGCAGCAAGTACTGCCCTTATGCTGCTGCCTAAGCTAGTTACAATTCCTCTGACAACCAAAGCAAAAATGAAGGGCTTTGATGAGGCAGGCAAATAACAGGGAAAAGTGACTGATAATCAAAGCCACAAACGTTGCCACTGCATTCCTTCTCTGTAAAATATAATAAATACTTCAATAACAGCACAGAAATACAAAAAAGTGATTTTATTTGGCCAGTATAGAGCTGCTTATTCAGGCTTCTGTTTCTGCTTTTTATAACTAAAAGATTATATTTTAAAAACACTGAAAATACAGTCCTCACTACTCCGTAAATATCTTTATGAGAAGCTACCTAGTGTTCTGCTCAAATGAGACACCATATCCATTATAATAGTAGCTCTACCACAAAAGTATGATCTTTGTTCTTAGGAATTAGCAGCCAAAGTATAAGTCCAAATTTAATGAAGAACCAGGTACTCAGGCTCACTAATTCCACTCAAAATGACAAAAAAAAAAAGAAATTATTTGTGTTCTTAAGATTAAATACAGTCTAATCTAGGGCATTATAAGAGGAAATACCTCAGAGGATGACGAATCTAAAACAATTATTAAATACAGTAGGTTTTTCAATTAAAAACAAGTATCACAGAAGTTAAAGAAAATGCTTTCTTGCAAGTAATATCTTTTTTGATATATAATACAGAAGTCCTGATATTTCCCAAAAATCAATTAATTGTACTTTACAGTATGACCAGAAAAAGTCATGCTAATACTAGGATCTAGACCATATTCCAGCCTATTTACTCATTCTGCAGCTTTGCATTTTTTTCACATAATTTTGATTACATACAGTATTTTTTGCTTTCTAACTATGATATTTGCTGTACGCCATTAAACAACGGGAAATTTTGCTTGAAAGAAACCTACCTTCACACGATGAATGCGGAAATGTATCCAATATGCATATATTACTAACTACCAGAAAATTTTTGGAAAATTACTATCATATAGCTTGTGCTTTAAAATGAGTTTGATACTATGTTTAAAGGGCTTAGCCCATCCAGGTCGATATTATCCTTCAGTCATTAGAGCTTTCAAAGTATATACATATATATTAAAAAAGTATAGCATAGAAAGTTACCTGTCAATCTGTTCTAGGACATTGGCAACTGAGTGCAGTGGCTTTCGCACACGTTGATGCAAACTGTGTTGCAGCAGCGGCAAGCACAGATTCCACTGGGTAGTACAGACAACCTGCATTACACTGGGATCTCCTAATCGAACTGCTTGTAGCAGGATTAATTCAAGTGTTTTAATTGATTTCAGCTGAGCCTACGCAAGGGAAAAATTAATTAACATAGACTGCATTTAATAAATATGACTTCTCACATGGTCCTTCAAACAATCTTAGGGTTGTTTTCAACAGAAGACCACCCCGCAGCGTGCAAATTCCTGAGCCTTCCCCAAACAGCTAGTGTAGTTCTATGTCATGCTTTGCTTGCTTACTTATTTTAAGTCTTACACACTGGTAATTAAGGATTTTTTTTTAGGTACTCCATGACACAACTATGTATTTCAGGCAGAAGACTGTCAGCTATTCCCTCTTTTTAATGATAAATAGGAATTGGTAATTGTGAATTATTTATGAATTTAGAGGTCTTTGACTTTCTTTTAGGTAATAAGCTACGAATATAGTGTAGCAAGTGAAAAAATAATATAAATGGATCTTGACATACTGTCAATTAAACTATTTTGCTATTAAATTTGAAAGCAAAATCCTTACTTGAGTTAGCAGATATTAATTATTACATTCTTCATAAAGGTCACACAATAAATAAACCAGAAACAGCTGCATATACCATGAAGGAACATTCAGAAATACTTAAATGTCCTACATTTTATCTAAGCATATTAGTACTCTTTCACAATCTGAAGAATGAATGAGAACATGAAAATACAAAATAGGAAAATATGAAAGGTGACCAGCTTTTCTGCATCCCAAAATAAGAACACCAATACAGAAGAGTAACTTCAGGCACTAACATGAAGTTACTAACACTATTCATTTCCATGTGGCATGTTCAGTTTCTGCTTCAGAAACTACAGGTATCTCTATTAGCTCTTATGAAGTGCTTGCTGAGGGCATCTATCCAAACTCATTCATAATATCAATTTGAGCTCTCAATTTTGATTCTCTGAATCATAACAAAATGATCTGACTAGAAGTCTAAGAAAATCCTCCCCCATGTGACAAAGCTTCAGGAACAACCTGCATTTCTATGAAATAAAAATTTGTATGATATTCCACATAATATGCATTAACACATCTTCTGTAAATAGAAAACATGAAAACAATAGAGTACTGCCTTTGCACACCTCACTCCTGCCAAATTGTTCCTTGTGAACTAATGTATTTATGACCCTCTTCATCAAACTGAACTCTTAAGGGAGGCTTACTTTTCCCACTATTCTTCTTGGCAGCCCAGTTAAAAGTATATAAAGTAATTTCTACAGCAAAATAGAATTAAAATACAAGTTCAATACAATTTCCTATGTTTAAAAAACTTGCATGTTTCTAAGTTAGTGTTAAAGAACATACCTCAACAACTCCTTTGGTATAAGTCATAATTTCAGTGCCGAGTTTCTGGACTTCATATTCATATTCCAAGCACTGTATTTCAATAAGTCTCCCTGGATTCTATGAAACATTAATATACAAAATGTTATTTTTAATGAATTAAAAGGAACAAGTGATTATACTAAAACATCATTTTACTTTCTTACTGAAAAATCTCACTGTATTAGCTTAACTGGAAAAGTGAAATACAGTTAGAATTTGCTGTTTAAAGATTAGTCACATTAATTAAGTCAATGTTGCAAAATATATTGTATTATATAAAATACTTTTTTTTTAAGTTGTTCATATCTAGCCTTGCATTAAGAAATACAGTGTACAATTGACTTCTCCTATGATACTATAATTTGATCTCCATTCCAGCAGATTATTGCTTATTAAAGAGATACATAATTGGAATAAACCGGAAACAGCTGAGTCAGGGATCATCTTGACAGATCATGTAACTTCTAAGTAAAAAAGGTGGGATTTTTAACACTTCAGGAAAGCTCTACCTATTAAATCATACAAATTACAAGAATGTATTATCTCAGATACTTCACAATTAGTTTCCTATGGAGCAGTAAAGAAAGCCAGAGAATATCTCCATCAGTCTTTATGAACTGTTTTCCAATCATTCTGTGAGACCTTTGATATTTTACTATCTCTCTATGACTGGAAAACAGATGACAGATCTTGTAAAACTTAAATGAATGCAGTACTTCTAATATGATGAAAAGACAACAGTGTGTACATATATATAGACAGAATCTATGCTATAACTCAAAAATCTGATGGCATTTGGCAAAAGGCAAAGAACTGGAATGCTGAAACAGAAGCAAACCTCTCCTACTGCTCTCACAGAAGAGATACTTGCTATTGCTGACTATACAAATATGCAAACCAAATTCTTGCAAATTCTTCACCTAGAGGATTTAAAAATACATTCCATCCTAATACTATGGAATTGTGTAACCTTAGATTTGGCAGAATTTTTCAGAGAGAAGAAAAAAGAAAAGAAGAGAGATTGAGGAAGGCATCTGAAATGGGAAATCTCAGTGAGGATATGCAATGCCTATAAAAGTTACTGAAGTTTTAAGTTATTGAAAGTAGGAGCATTATTGTAAGAAGTTAGAGTGATGTATTTGACAGTATTTGCCACTTACAGTACATTTGCATGCATGAGCATTTTGGGCAAGTAAAAGCTCACTCATAGGGCTCACAATGTCTGAAAATCTTAGGTATTCTTTGAATACAATGGTGAATAGGTCTGCTTCTCAGCAAAGAAGGAACAGAAAAAAAAAAAAAAAGCTTAGATCCAGATGAAGCAAAGAAACAACCAAGTGAGGACCACTTATAGGGGAGACCACACAACTCCCATTTAGTAATCTTTATAATATAAATATGACAGAAGATTATAACACGTATGAAATATTAACATATAACAAATCAAATATCACTTGCTGGAAAAGAAAATATTACCACCAAAGCAAAGAAAGGAAATGTGCAGGAAGAAGTGCTATCAGAATAAATCCACAGAAAGGAAAGATCAAGGAGTTCAATTTGAGGCCCATCTCTGGATTACTCTTTTCAGCCAAGGATCAACTGTGGCAACTCTGACTTTTGAGAAACTTGGGGACTATTGTTCATGCTCTATCCACTAGCTCCCTAACAGTGGTCCAGACACATGATCTCTTTTCTCATCATCAAAATGAGGATTCACATGCCATTTCTCAAGGTTGATTTTGTATTGATAAAGATCAAAGTGAATGCACGTAACATGAACAGCTTTTAGAGCTTACGTCCTAGTGACTGACTACTATCTCAGTGGATGGACTTGTTAAATCTTCAAAAGCTACAAGTAATATTTAAATTCCCACTCACTAGCTAATTTCATTCAAAGCATTCCACAGAAGATAATGAAAAATATACAGATAGAAGCTCAGAATTAATATTTATTTGCAAAAATTTACTGATAATTATTCTGCTCTGCTTATACTCTACCCTGACCATCTTTTCTCAAGTTTACAAATAGATCAGTTTTGCAAGTAACCATTATTAATCAATTAGCATTAAACAAATGTACAACAGATACCAGAACCATCAGTACTATTATTAACTTATAATTATGATGGAACAATTAAACACTAGTTTTGATACTTACAGTAATGCCAGCTCTCTTCAAATCAAGTATACAATTATAAGCAAGCTCGATGCTGTTTGATTTCACAGAAAAACGAGCGAATTCCAGAACCAAAGGTATCCTTCAAAACAGAAAAACGTCACTTCAAATGAATCTAATGAACTTGATATTGCTCTTTGACAGAAAATTGCTATATGAAAATAACCTTATCAGTGCAATATATTTGGGACCCTTGAAGTCATCAGAATATCAGAGGGTATGTGATTTAATACTCACAGTGCTCACAATCAATAAAGCTTACAGTAAAACATTAAAGATGGCTAAATGACAAACAAATCTGTTTTGGGAAAATTAGTAGACTTTAATACAGTTTTGGAAAAACTTTCTGAAGAAGAAAAAAATAAAGAAAGAATGAAACACATTCAATAAAAAGAGAGTGAAACAGTCAACAAAAGTTAAATTGCTGTTAATTCTGCAAATGCAATATTGTCAACTGACACACATCTTAATACAGTAAGGTAATAATGCTCAACTGTTTAGTGAGTAAGAACATGCACCCCACGCACAGAAGGAGACTAGGTTTTAAACGCTAAGAATCTCAATTAACAACCAAATAAACATAGCATATTGTCTCCACTAGGAGAAGCAATAAGATACCTGGATACAGTCAGAGAAGATTGATCTTGCATAAAAATGTAATATTACTTTCATATGAAACAATTTTGATATAACTAGTAGAATAGAGAATGCAGTTTTTTTCCTGCATTTGAAAATTATGCTGAAGAATTGCAAAGGGCCCAAAGAGGCTAAAAAGAATCAAGGTCCAAACCAAAAGACACTATCCGATTAGAATCTAAGATTTTTATCTACAAATAAAGGTTAAAGAAAAAATTAACAGTTTGTGTACAAACAATTACGTGGAACAAGCTATTTAATCTGGGACTCTTTAGTTTTATAGGACCTTTACCATTTTATATATCACCTAAATGTTAAGGAAATACAAACTAGTTTAAAAAGTTCACTTTCTTCAAAGTCAACAGGAATTTTGTCAATTACTTCAACACAGAGAGAAGCAGGTTAAAATTCAGCTTTCAGGGGGCTGTGACAAATGAAACTCACTTTTTATTGAGATCAAATTCTGGAGATACCTCGTATCGTTTCATAAGCTCATATACAGAATTCAGATTTGTGGTGGTGTCACTTGGAAAGTCATTTGTATGCCACTGCCTGCAAGATATTATTGATCATAATTTTTCACAAGACAATACTTTGTATTGCATTTTTTTGTATTTCAGATTTTTGACGCAAAATCATAATTTTACAATGGATGATTCTTAGAGCATTTAAGTGGAATATCTGCATTATTAAACAACAACAACAAAGAAAGTCAGCAATACCTGCTTAGAGTATTCTCAACAAGCCACTCAGCTATGGAGAGATATCAACCAAGAACACTCCAGAATAAGAATTAATATTTCATGTGGTACATTTTAATATAAAAACAAGGAAAATGATGTGCTGAACTCCTTTCTTCTAATATTGACATAAATTATTTCACTTTTACAAAAACAGAATGAGTGCTTTAGAAGGAGGAGGTGTCGAGACTCTGATAAAACAAAGGGAGTATTTTGTTATGAAGTCTAATTTTCATAATTACTTCATAGCTTTGAAGTTTATAATTTTTAAAAAGGATTACGTTACGTTTCACACTTGTGGCTCGTTCATTGTACTTTAGGTGTGATTTCCCCATGTCATCTTCACTCTCTTATGCACGGCGAGTACTGAAGTGCAGTTTCATGGACATAAAGTGTCAATCTTTATTTTAATCTAGAATCTCAGTACAATTTACACCCTATTACACATATTCCCAAACAACTATTTCACCTTTAAACTGAGGTTGTTTTCCATGCTGGACTATTCAAACGGTAATTCTAGGTTTCCCTTAGACAACAATCTTTGTAGTAGATTTTTCTACTGAAATAAGACACACCAGAATCCAACTCTACATTTGGTAGCAACAAGTACCAAAATTCAAGTAAAAGGAAAGATTTTAATACTTACAATTTTATCATTTGCATTTTATAAATAATAGATAAATAGATGGATTTTTTTATTTCCTTCTCTACCTGGGAAATATCCATTAGTTGGTGATATACCTAAAAAATAATAATTAGATTATTAATATAATAAATAAAACTACAAAGGAAAGACATAGCGGGTATAAAATAAAGCAAGTTTGTTGTTTTCATGGACTTTAGAACACTGAAACTGTTATGACAGCCTGCGCTGCTCTGCATATATCCCACAGAGAACATTACCAAGTAGAGCTATACTAGTTTGCACAAATTGAGGATCAGAAATATTAACAGAAATCTCAGTGAGGAACTAGCATGTGAGTTAAAGTTCTAACTAATGCACTTTTAATCACACTTTTGAATAGCACTCATTCTGGGATCATCTCATCCAGCTATATGAAATGTAGCTGCAACTATAAATTGAATGGAACAAAAATATATTTAATAATAGAAATACATATTCTATATATTTATATTTTCTAATATATATTTATAATATATTTTCATTTTATAGTAAAATATATAAAAACCAGTGGTTACATCTATTTAACTTTACAGTTACATATTAAACATATGCATGATAATCTTTTATTCTGACTTGCATTGACAGCCATAATAATCACCTTCCACAGTCTAACAAAGCAAGCAGTATGATTGCCCCTCTTCAGCCTGTCCTAATGGAGAAAAAGCCTGTAAGACTAGTCTAGTGAATTGTTTTGCTTTTTACTGCATCTAGACTGTGAGGAAGGCTGTGAATCCACATATCCCATATATCATTTAAAAATTATATTTAGATTATACTTAGATATGCCCATTCCCTGCATGATTTACCTTCCTTGTACTCTGTGTATTTTCTACGAAATACTTTTTTTTTCCCAACACATTGTTACTTAAGCTGTAATGGAACAGCAGGTTATTGTACAACTTGAGTATGCCACAACTCAAGAATTACTTTATATATATATATATATATTTAAATATATATAATTATATACAGGATAGATCTCACTTCTGTAATCTTGCTGAGATACACAGCTCGGCTGCAACTTTAGAAGCACCTTATTTTTTGGTTCAAGGCCATTGTTAGGTAGCTCAGTTCAACAGTGCTTATAAAAACTACAAAACGCATTCTGACTTAGCTCAAATGTTATTGATTCATTATTATTGCACCTCTGGAGGTTTTCTTGATTCAAATGTTAGAAAACACATTTTTGAAATACACTCTTGTGAAATAATTGGAAATGTAGAGAAACAGAGCAACAGATAGGGAAGCAGGGAAAGAAAAGCAACATGACTGCACATAATTCCCAAATCTTATCTAACATTATGGGTTCTCCTATTTCTGCTCATCATGTTCATCCTCACCCTCTTATTTGACAAATTAAGGGCATGCAAGAGATGTGAACTAACATGCCCTGCTTTGATTTTCAGAATACTTTAGAGGGGTAAAGTAGGGCCATTTGAGCGTTTTTCCACATGAGAAAATATAGCAACTAAATAAAGCCTGGCATTTGTATTTCCAATGGCATGAGGCATATAAATTACATCTGTGACACCTACCATGTTAACTATATCCAAACAGAATTATTTTTAGGATATCAGTAGTCATCCCTATAATAATATGTTGTAGTAAAATAAATTACATGGAACACCCTCACACTGCAGTTGGGAGCTCTTTAGCTTACAGTATCAAAAATATAAAAGCTCTACAAACATAAACATATCACTTTACTACTTGGTAGTTACAGCATTTGAATACGAGAATGGAAATATATAATAATTAGAATAATCTAAAATGCAACAAATCTCCTGGCTTTAGGATATTTTAATTATATTTTATAGCACTACCATTAGAGAAAATATTTGCGAGTATTTATCTGGAGCATTTTCTTTAATAAAGACTGCCGCAGTAGATGAAAATTCTTCAGCCTCTTTCATTTTCGAAGCATCGAGAAAGCACTCAAGTAAATTTCTGTAGATGAAATAAAATATTTGTACTGAGTATTTACTGCTTTCATATTACCTAAACCAAAGCCTTATTCATATTTTATAAAGAGATTCAATATATTCAAGATTCAAATTACCAATGATTTTCTGTTCAACATTTTTTCTACCAGAGCTTTTCTTGCATTTTTTTTTGAGGTTGTAGATAGTGAGGTTGTGGAGGTCTGTGATTTCTTTCACTGAACTTAGATACAGCAAATGCAACAAATCTGTTCGCATTCTGATCAGGTTTGCTTAGTGACCACAGACCCATCAATACCTCAACCTACATGTGCTCCTCAACCCAGAACCACCTGTTCTTACTAGCAAGTAGTTCAGACTATTTTAGCAGATAGGTCTTGTTCTTACAATGTGTATCTCAATCAAATATGTATGGCAATCAAGGAAGAGTAGATAATTTAAAATCTGTTCTTTAAATTAATATTTGAAAAGTTTTATATACAGAAATGAGTAAAATCTTACCAAAAATAAGTAAAATGAAAATTGTCAGAAAGTCACAGAATTCTTCTTACTGAAGAGCCGCAATAGATATTGAGTGTATTAAGCTAGCATATGTTATTATACATCTTATCATTGATCTGGATTTCCATAGCATAACTTTACTTTAAGCTCAATCAAAGAATTCATCACTTAATTAATTTATATTTATTAAAATTAGTTCATAAAATAAACTGGACACAAACATGACAAACAAGTCAGCATCAAAAAAAAAGAAAAAAAATCAGTAACAGACTTAAAGATACATAAGCCAATCTAAAATAGAAAGGCACACGGCCCTCAATAGCTATCAGCTATACAGTGTGATGACAGGAGAACAACCAAAGCCCTTTCATTGGAAATATACATATATATGTGCTTTGATATAACCTGAACCACCAACATGTAGGAATAAGGAATAGGAGGAAAGGTTGGCCAGGGATGAAAATAATAATGTTGATTGCTTGATGGATAAAAGGATTTTCTGAGGCCAACCTTTAGAAGTTAACAAGGAACATTTGGTGAGATATAAGCAGCATCTGGGAAGGTGGTGGTACAGGTAGGGAGGTGAAGATATAAGGATCACCTGGGAAGACTGCTAGAAAGGAGGAAGAGAAACCCTGGATGGAGAAGAGGTGGTGGGGCCTCTAGGTTGTTGCCTGCTCTTCTCTCTGTTTTCCCACTGCAACATAAGGAGTTGCATCAACCCTCGCTCTTGTCCAGGATCTCACACTTCTTAGGACAATAGTTTTCAAACCTATTTGCTAAAACTCTCCATTCTTTCCAAAGATAACATCTTAACGCACATTTTTTATTTTTAGCAGAAGTGACCAACAGATAAAAATATTCAAGTTCTACTACATATTTTTCAACCCACTGATGCTCTCTGAAACATTAAGTATGTGGGTGCCTTTGTACGGACACCGTTCCATGCACAAAGGGAAGCCAGACTGAATATCCATAACTCAAATAAAAAGGATATTTGGAATACAGTGCTGTGTGATATATTAATGTGCTATTCTCATTATTGAAAAAAGTTAAATGTAATATATCAAAAAAGTATTAATTTCTACAGTCACTTTAGATACAGCAGATATAATACAGGGTAATAAAAACATGTCTATTAAACTGTGTATTTGTACCTGTCTTTTGAAACACTGTTTAATTAGATTTCCTTTTCCATTTCCTTCTACAAGCAATAAGGACTTTTTAGTCATGCTTAATAAAAAAAACCTTGACGGGGGAAACTAACTACAGTATATCTCCTTCAATGCTTCATTTTCTTATAAAATATCAATTGCTAAAGGTGATGACTAGACTTAATTATTTAATGCAGTGTAAATTATATTGCATTTGCTTCTGAACAGAAAAGGTGTGCAGAAATCCTAGATATTTCTTATGCATGACATGAAATTGGCTGACAAAACTATGACATAGATGGAAACATGGAAGTAAGGCATTTTTATTAGAATCTAGGTTACTGATCTTCCCCCAGTACCATATGAATAAGGATTATTAGACTTCTAAATTCCAGGGTTTTTTGCATAATACTAAAAATGCATTTTCTGAATCCATCCTTATTTGGAAGTTTAAATCTTGAATAACAAAAGTCAGTTGGTTAAAATCTTACTAGCCTTGTTTATGCAAGTTACTACTTCTCATAATTTCTGGACTGTTATTTTTAATAGGACTAGTTAAAAGAAGACCTATTTCATTTCAAGTCAGGCCAAGTTGGTTATTCAAACCAGTAGAAATAGCCTTTAATTTAATATTGAAAAAAAAATATTCTTCAGATGGGACCAGAATGGCCCTGCTATTAATATTTTAATCTCAGAGTAAATATTAAAATGTAACATCTTTTATACTATGTGCACACTTGGACATCCTAAAAATTATAAATGATTCTGTAATAAATATACTTAAATTCTAGCACTGAAAAATGTTATTGAAAACTACCTCTGGTGGCAACCACATACACAAAGGACTGCAGAATACCCACGGAAAACAAAAAACAAAAACAACTAGACTTGCATCATGAGTTCTGCTATCCACTCCTTGTCTTGCTCTTCAGTTTGGTTTAGTGCTATAACAATCTGTGATAGGCTGGGAATAAGGCAATAGCTGAATCCAGGCTTAAGATATGGTCTCACAGCTTCCCAGTAAAGGACTGAGGCATTATATATCAAAAAATAATATCTGAAAAAACAACAGTTTAGGATTTAATGAGTTTTGATAAACATGAGATTATAAAAAAAAATAAAACAAATATTTTAAGACACTTATAGATAACAACTAGCCTTCACTCAGAACTGAGGGTATACATACTAAAATAAACAACAATAAGACAATTCTTAAGACTACACTTTATGCAGTAATTAACTGTATAAACTGGATTAACTGTATATTAAGTAATATACAAAAAGCTAATACAGTACTCTGCTTCTCTAGAGCATAAATAGAAAATGAGAAGAAGAACTGAAACACAGATGTCTTCCAGGCTTAAGCATAAGTTTGTTCAATCCCTTAAGCACTATTCCAGTACTCTTACACTGTTGCAGCATAGGAGTTACAGAGGTGCAGCAACAAAACAGAAGGAGAATCCACAAATCACCTTCCCCCAAAAAACTACTCAGTTAAAATATGAGATAACCAACTATGAAAACTTAACTTAGTAACATTTCCTTAGATTTAAAGGGTAAATCCAATCAATAAGGCTTACCTTGGATCATGCATCGCAAAGTCTATTGCTTTCAGAAAGAACATCACAAATTTTTCAAACTCTTCCTAAAGAAGAACAAAAATTGTTCAGGCAATTTTTATATCACTTCATAAATCACCACTATATTATCTTCATATTCCAACATGTTCATATCTCATTTTATTTTCAAACCATTCTCTAACAAAACTTGTGGGCATAATCAGAACTCATGCCTACTAGTATGCTTGCCTGATTTCAATATTTAAGAGTCTAATTTCTGCTGGAATTTAATTTTTGGGACTGAAATTGTCCAACAACACAACACCAAATAAATATTTTTCTTTTTTAGGTCTTCAGCAAAGAAAGTTTAAATACTTCTAAAAGCAAAGTACTGGTTTGTCATGCTAAAAAAAAACTTCAGGTATTATTTTCTCTGTAAATGTTCCAACGTCCCTTGCTCACTGGAACTTGGCAAGAGAATGGTGTGTCAGGCATTATCCTTTTGGCATTTCCCAGAAGAAAAAAGGCACTCAGATGTGGTGAGTTGTAAGCCTTTTACAATTCTCAATGACTTCGTGGGTTCTAGCTATCAGATTCCTTGACATTTCTATGAACAGCAAGCAGGCTCCTGGTTGGACTGACTCAGCCTCTTCCTATAACTGGAAAAGGCTATTTAGAATCTCTTTCTACTAAGATATGAGGTCTTCTCCTCTATGGTTTCTTGCTCAGCCAGCCAGTCAGCACCAAGAGAAGGACTTGGCTTTATGAAGGCAATCAGGTGGGACAGGGGAAAAGTGAAGAAAAAAGAAATTAAGATCTTAAGGTGTTGGATAATAGGAATGATTACTTGCAAAATGATATTAAGAGCAGAAAAGATGATAGGAAAGAGCAGAGGCATTAAAGAAGACTGTAACTGACTGAGAGAGATCATGGTTGAGAACAGAAGCCCATTTAGTGTGATATCAAGTCAAAGATTTTGTATTTGTTTTTCTGAAAAAAATATTGACATAAAAAGTTGACTTTGAAACAATCAGCCTTCTGAAAAATTTTCCATGCATTTTTCTAATGTATCTGCAATATAGTCCTATTCAGCTTATAGTTTTGCATACTACCAAAATAGCCATTAACATACTTCGACTTTTCCTACTCTGGTATTTTCAAATGGCTGAAATCAATACATATATATCCACAAATAAATATATATTCTAAATTGACTTCAATATAATGTAACTTTCATAATTTCTCACCAAATTATCGGTAGAGAGTGGAGTGTGCAACTGGCCTTGGCACAAGTATGCTCTGCCAATAAATTGGTTTACAGGAAATCTTGCTTTAAAATACATCTGTAGACAGTCATGGCTCATTTCCAAACACCCCAGCTAAGACCAAAAAAAAAATCATTTGAAAAGTATGAAAATGCAACAAACAATTAAGCAGGAACTATAAGTTCTTAAAATTGCATGCCTGCTCAAACAGTGTAACATATATCAGTATACTCATATACAGACAGTTTAGCATAAAGCGGCACACCAGATCTTGTACAAAACTATTCTGATCTATTAAGTATTAATCTAAAGTCAGACTTTCTTCATTCCAAACATACAGTGAAATGGCTTTTTTTATTTAACTCTTGAGTTATTCATAGAGTATAGAGAAAGCTTTTCCTTTTAAAAGACATTAAGAGAATTGTTTATATACAGGTAAAGCTCTTAGCAGATTTCTTTTTTTATGAAGGATGGCGATTAGCCTGCAAGATTTTGTGCAGATGACAGTTCAACATCTCAATTTCCAGGCAGAAGATAGAATCTGAGTGACTTGCAGCTAGTTCTGTTATTAGCTGAAGCTATTGAAGCTCAGTCTGCTTGAACTCCAATGCCTTGCACCCATGGCCCGAAGATTAATAAATATTTCAAAATTAGAAATGTCTATTGCATTTTATAGAAATAAGCCAATCACCAACACTCTTGCATAATTAGAATGCTAGCTTGTCTTCCTATTACTCAGTAGGGACCATCCATTAAAGAAAATCTGCCAATCATAACTAAATTGCTTAGGATACAAGGCACAGCAAACTATTCAATGTTGCAATAGTAGGCCATGGTTATTTTGCACTAACTAAAAACTTCACTGAGTGATCCTAAAGAAGTGATGACTTTGGGAAGACCTTGAGATTTTACCGAAAATGCATGTTTAAACAATTTCTCTGCAAGGGCATAAAGCAAATATTTTTCCCAGGTCATTCTCACAATATCCCTAAGTAATGACTTATACCACTACAGTTACACTCTCAGTCACACAAACTCCCTAAATTACACGGGGAGGCTACCCGAAGAGCTTGTTCGGCGCACAGAACATAGAGGTCAGTGCTGAAATTCTCCAACGAGTCAAGCGCAGACTTCCCGGGACTGGCTGATTTGATCAACTCATAAGCAGTCCTCAAAGCTTCAACATCTGAAACAGAAAGACTACAGAATGTAGCAAATTATTTGTTTCAAGGCAGACTGAAAGATGTTTGATTGCAATATTTTCAAACAGCTATATGGCACACTCTGCCTTTTAAGAAAAGAAATGGAATGTTATGGAAAAAAGAGCTAAGCAAGCGTTATTCAAAGTTAATCTTATTTCTAAGATGAAGCATTAATGAGCATCTTGACAGTTTTAAATCACTAATGTGGGCAAACAAACACATCCTACACGCCGTCACCTCGCTGAGCCTCCGCTGCGAAGAGGCGCTCCCTCCGCGTCTCCTGGCAACGCGGCCCAAGAGGCGCCTGCGCGGCCTCGGCGCGGCCTCGCCCATACTGCAAGAAGCGGCCTCCGGCTGCCACGGGCCGCAGCGACACGGACGGGCGGAGCACGGCTGAAAATGCCACGAGCAGCAATACTGAAAACAGAACACCACGTAAAAGGTTTTCTGAAATAAGGCACCTGTGGCTCTGGAGTAAACCACAGCGAAGCACCCATCTATTGGTCCTACGGTCCTATCTGCCATCAGGCGTGTATGACTGCCTTTGGAGACCTTCAGGGTTTTGTCATCTCTGCACACTTCTCACAGTATGTCACCCAAGCGTGTCTCTATCATAAAAATCCTATGGAAAACAACAGTCAAGGAACAAGATACAGCACTCAAACAAGCAAAACCCCCACACCTAGAGGTTTCCTGACCTCATCAAGCTATACAAAATGAAGTGTTTTGGCCATCATGATTTCCACATAATCACCAGGTCATAGCACCTTCCGTGTGGAAAACACCACAGGCACAAAGACAGGACAAACACTTGCATATATAGATCCAGCTTCCAAGCCCAAGTCCCTCATAGTGGGAACTAAAGCAAACCTGGGCAGCAGCAGGACACAGCGCTGGAAGAGAGGACACTGCTCCAAAATGCACCATCGCTGATGAGGCACTGAGGAAGGGTCTCACTGTCACCTTAATTTAAAGAAAGATGGAGAGGCCACAAGGGTGAAAAATGATAAAAACAGAAAGTATAGCAAGACCCACCTAACATTTAAGGCAAGAGGCTCAGCTACTAAATAAATCAGATATTCTGTCTGTGCTGTAACAGTAAAAGATGCTTCACTTCACAAAGCATTGGAAACACTACAAATACAGGCACTATATCTGTAGGACCTGCAAAGAGCTTGACTGCAGGCTCCTGCTTCTTCTCTACCCATTCTCCTAGCTCCTAACTCCTGTCCACAGAGCCTGCCAAATTAATAAATCATCTTGTTCGTATGTGTGTTGATAAATAAATAAAACAAGTGCTTCTGACCTGCAGGTAATCGCCAGAATGTACACTGTAGCATGAGCATCTCAGAGAATTTATTCATCCTCATGAAGTATCTGTGACAGGAGATTGAATTATCCCCCAAATTAAAAACTACTTATTCCTACATAATGCAAACTGTAGCTAGCACATGGTCACATGGGTTGTGACATAATTGTGAATATAAAAATCTCTTAAATCTGTAATAGATGCTCACAAAAATAAAGGAACAACTATGTTAGGATTCCAGGTTTTAAATAGAAGAAACAGAGCTGAAAACAAGTTTATCAGAGAAAGATTATTCTAAGAAGCATGCACATTTTCCTAAAACATCAACAAGAAGCACACCACTTTCTAGATATAATCATCCTGGTTTCCTTTTCACCTGATTCCCATGATTCCCATGGTTCCCATGATTACTCAGGAACACAGGCCAAGACAATCTTGTGTCAAAAAACCTTCATAAAGAATAATGGGAGGTGGTTTTCTCCCCAGATAAGACTTCTGCAAAAAAAAGCAGGGGAGTTAAATATTTTCTTCTTGTTAAGGCTAAAAATTCAAAATAATAAATTAGTAGCAAACTTGGAGGTCTGCTTTCAAGTTAGTTCTATGAAATACAGGTGTACAAACTGTACAGATTTGCAGTTGCAGGTTGCAGAAAATAAATATGTAATCTAACATGGCTCAAGAGATCTAAATTATAAACACAATTTAAGAAAGGACAATCTCAGAGTAAATGAAAAATCAAAGATCTTTAGTAAACAAATAGATCAAATCATCTTCCATAAAATCATCTTTCATAAATCTACACATACTTAGCAGGAAGGATGAGTAGTCTTTGTATCTAGTCAGGACAGTTTGTCTTATTTAACATGTCCTATATGAAAAGGCTAGTCAACTGAGACCTAATACATTTCCAAATTAGAGAATACACATTCACTTTGGTTTATTTTACTTATGAGAGTGCACATCTAGCAAAAGGTTTAGGTTTATGCATAGTGAAAAAAATTATATTGACTTTGTATCAAATAAAGACATCCTACTGAAAAAATCATGCATAACAGTGCTCACAGCCTTCTAGAGCACAAGGTAACTGGTGTGCTTTGCAAGCGTTCACACATCCAGGCTTTTTCAAAGAGGGGAGATTTTTTCATGAATACCTGATTTAAAAAGGGACATATGCCCTAACTACCTGACCAGTCACTAACTTAAAATAATTAAAAATAACAAGTTAAAACCAGCTACTTGAATTTACTTGGAAATAAGCTGAAAGGGAATTAAAGAACAGTGAAAAATAAATCAATACAGGGCTGGAGGATGATCACATTAACCTTAAGGTTTTTTTTTCTTAACGCATGCCAACATAGAGTAACCTTGGCACTCATACTCTGTTAAGTCCGGTTCCCAACCCAAAGCTGGAGGTGAGGGTGTTTATCCTGTAGCTGCTGTGACACCAAGCCGGCTGCCTCACGCGCGCCGCAGCTGGACACAGCGAGATGAGTCGACCCGCCTCGGCCCGCCTCCTTAGGCAGAGCGGAGGCAGCCGCGCATGCGCCGCGCCGCGCCTCGCTGTCCGGCGCGGGCCGAGGGGCGGAGGTCTCGTCCCTTAGAGACTCGGTGACGCCATGGGTGACGCCAAGAGCGCGGCTCAGGGGCTGCTCGTGGTCGTGCTCGTGGCGCGCGTGGTC